TTGCAAACACATGACAGCATTTGGAACTTTGGAGTGTCTGCAGAAGGTGTAATGCCCATGTTGCTAAGAAATTCCGGCAAGAGCTGCAAACGTGTGCAAGAAGCTGCATGTTAGATTCAGGCATGTTTTGCAAACAGGGGGGCTGCCACCCCCCCCCCCCCGCGCCCCCTCCCCTCATCTCCCCCTCTCCCCCGCCTTTTCCCCCCCTCGCAACCCCCTGCTATTTCATCTTGCGGACGCAATGCACAAAATTCACCTCCAAGGTGTGCCAGAAGGTGCATGCATTCACACTTATTTCGCGCGTCCAACAATCCCTTGTGACGCTACCGCATGATGAGTTTTACCACAGGCTTCCACTCGGTATGTGTACCAGCTCGCAGTCTCCAAGCATCCATGGGGACGATGTGCGACGGTGAAAATGAACATCGAGCTTCCAAAGTACCCCGATGCTGCATTTTACAATGGCCCTCGTACCAGAACAAAAAGGATGCCCAACAGAAACAACAGATCTTGAGGCCTTGCTATTGCTCTGGTGGCACAGAGCTGTCCCTACAAAAGCAAGAATTTCTCGCAGCCACATACGGCATGAGTTCAGCATGGCCGATAAAGTCCAAAATGATCACGTGCAGACATTTGCATGGCAGTGGCAAGCATTACGTGACGGTTGGGCCGCCAAAGGCAAACCTGTTGAGGATGAAATGCTTGAAGCAACCAGTCTGATCTGTCTTTACACGCAACATAAAGCATTTTGGTCTGAGGAGGCTGGCCAATCCAGCACTGACAGTGACCTCACGCTCCAGGACACCAGTGTTGCAGAGGGTGAGTCTAGTCCCAAATCAAGGGTCCAGATGAGAATACTTAGTTGTGAAAGATGCAGCGAAATTTAACATCCGGGAGCAGCTCCGCTCCGCACTTTTTCCTTGCTGAGGCCCTATGCACGCGCCAGCATTGTGCACGCTGTTTCTCAGATAGAGTAGGAATAATGCGGAATGCAGCACCTTTCGTCAGTCCAAGTGGTGTTGCGCAGAAATATGCTTGATGCATCATCCTGGCGAGGCAGCACAGTCCAGTGCCAGTGAACTGTCGCTCCAGGAGGGGCAGCACTTGTGAGTTGTCGGGGAAGGCAAAACGCAAATTCGACACTGCAGGAGATCACGCCAGAACCGCAAGCCAAGCCGCAGATAGCGGTCGCTCTGTTGTACTCTTGGTACGCCGATCGGATGACATTTTTTTGTAGGGCAGGCAGTCGCTGACAATGCACCCGTTGCAGGAAAGCTGCCTGCCGGAAGTATTTCCTCATTGTGCTCTACATTGCCGTCAGCTTACAATACTTCTGATGACCAGCACGCGCATTTGGAAGTCGCCACGTTGTGATAAGTTGTCGGATGCAATCCGCAATCTCACGTTGGCGAAGGCTCAGTGGTGCCAAAGCGTAGCTTTCCCATGGTTTCTCTGTGACAGGCTCTCAGCTCGACAAGCATCAACCCCAACTCCATGACGCTGGTGGTCTACCTGACGGGTGTCGCATCAAGCCCAGTGAGTCGATTGCCATGTGTACCGCGTAAGGGAGACATGTGAGCAGATATGTGAGCTTGAGGTCATCGCGTCTGGGCTAACCCTGTGCCCCACCTGAATCCTGTCGCAGCCATGCCTCTCCAGCAAGCTCTGAGAGCACTGCAGGTACGTGGAGGGAGTGAGCGGTTTGAAGCTGAATCCTCAGAAAATCTAATCGGCCCTCCCGCTGTTCTGGCTGATTGTTCAGTGTCTGTCTACTCTGTAGGACTGCGTGGAATCCGTGGAAGATTCTGAAGTGCATGCCTCCGGGATTCCTCTATGTCGGGGGGCCTAGCTTAAAGCTTGCACTCTTGCAGATGGAGGCTTGAACAGCAGAGGCCTTGACAGCAACTCTGATCAACATGGCTTTCTCGCAAGGCCTTGTCTGCAGTTTTTATTGGAGCCGCTGGAAATCGGGCAACTTTGAGGCATGAATGCAGCTTTGGCGTTGATCATCGGCAAGTTTTACACGCCTGTGGCAGCCATTGGGGCAGGATGGGTTGCGGCCTTACTGCTTTCTGTAGCCCATCCCAAGTTTGGCTAAATCTGAGTCTGCGGGCTCATGAGGTATTGAAGAGATATTACATGTGGTTGGAGCTGAGAACTCAGATTGTTGCAAAGCTTGACTGCTGCCGGTCATTATGCTGCTGCTGATGATGCTGCTGCTTATGACGATGATGTGAAAGCGCCTGCAGATGTGTAGCCTTGGCCTGTCCGCTGCTGTATCCTCTCGAGGGGGCCCCCTTAGTACCAAAAGCTACCAGTCCTTTGCATCCAAAACATTGTGCGCTTGATTTCCTTTCGCTTCTGCACTGCAAGCTCCAGTCAGCTTTGTCAGTTGGCACCGGAGCCTGGTTGGTTGCAGCCATCGCCGAGCAAGTGGAGCAGCACTTGACCAGCGTTCTTATCGTCGCAGTGGACGTGCTGCGTGACAGGTTTCTCAAGGAGACAAGTCTGGCGCAGGGCCGTTCGGTTTTCTCTGTTCCAGTGAAGGCAAGGGCGACTTTGTTGCTGAAACTTGTAGAGGAGCGCTGGCGTAGTATAGAGTTGCTGAACGATCTTACTGCGGACGTGCTGCGTACACTGAAGGGGTCGGAGGTAGAAGAGTTCAAGGAATGGTGTCTGCAGGAGGCTAGCGCCTTCCGAGGCTCTTACAGTCCTTCGCCTACTTCATCAAGCCGATCGAGATCCAAGTCACGAGAAGAGCCCAGAGGAAGCAGGGATCCCCATCCGGGATAAGCAGCCATGGGGGAAGCCGATGGAGCAGCCCCAGGGTGGACCTACAAAGACAGGGATCCTCCTCCAGCTTACAGCAGCGAACAACCACAATCCACCTTTCGCCCTTTCTTGCGCTCTCTGGAAATTTGGAAAGCGTCGACGGATTTGCCAGAGGAGAAGCATGGCTTGAAACTGGTTCAGGTGTTGACTGGTTCTGCGAAAGCTGGTGTGGATTCGTTGCCGATAGCTGAGATAAAAGGCCCGGAGGGATATGCAAATGTGCTTAAGAAGCTGAAGACGGCTTTCCACCCTATGTGGAAACAGCTCTGCCGAAAGCAATGGAACAAGCGCTGTATGGCCAGCCTCGTTCTGCCAAAGAGAGCATTGCTGAGTTTCTGGTTCGGTTCGAGCGATCGCAGGCCCTGCTGAAGGAAGAAGGGGTGGAGTTGCCCACCAAAGCTGTTGGATACCTTCTGGTTAAACAGGCCAATTTGGATTCTGAGCTGGAAGGTCGGTTGATAACCTGGCTTGCTGGAGACTATTCCCGAGACACTGTAACAGCTAATTTGCGGCGGCTTGAACGAGTCACTGCTGAATCTTCGTCAAAGAGGTCGTCTTACTGGGCAGCTGACGAGCCGGAAGAGGAAGAGTGGGACGACGAGAACGAGTTCTACCCTGCCTTCCAGCTCGACTCCCAGGAGGGCGAGGGCGAGGAGGATCAGTATGTGTACGCCCCAGAGGGTCTCACGAGGTCTTGGAAGAGGACGATGTGATGGAGGCTCTGGCTTCGTATCAGGATCCGCCAGCTTCGTGAAAAGCAGAAGGGTCGTCAATACTATGCCCCCAAGCAGCACCCCAAGGGCAAGGGCAAGTCAAAGTTCGGTTCCTTTCAGAAGGGTTCCGGCTATGGGGGTGGCAAGTCCAAAGGCGGTTTCGGGAGTCAACATTAATCAGCTTCTTCCTCTTGGGAGACTCGAAAGGTGCACATAGAGCAGCTTAAACTCAGAACCCGCTGCAGGAACTGCGGAGAATGTCGGAATCGTCCGTCCCAAGGTGCTTCAGGGTCAGGTTCGGTTGCTTCGAGCTCTACTGCTTAGAATCTCCTTCTATTGGACTTCTCCAGATGCAGGCACTGATGTCAAGAAGGCTTTCCCGGTTCAGGGCCAATGTTCTTGTCCTTCGCCTCAGGGAACGGATAAGGCGTGACCACCTCTCCCCAGCTAGGCTTGGTAGACACTGCTGCGCAGGAGGGCTTGATTGGAAGAGAAGCTCTACTTCGACTGGCAGAAGAACTTCGAGGCCATGGTTTGCGCATCAAGTGGACAGGCAAGTCTTCTCAAGCTCGAGGGATTGGTGGTACGGCAACCACGGTTGGAGTCTGCGAGTTGCCCATTGGTTTAGGCGGAGTGTCCGGAGTGCTGGAGGTGACAGTCATAGCCCAGGATGCCCCTCTGCTTCTTCCCATATCACTGCTGCGATCGTTAGGTGCCGTCATTGACTTGAACACCGATGAGATGCAGCTCGTCAAGGCGGGTGGCCACTGTAAGTTGAAGACCCTTCCTTCAGGCCATTCAGCGGTGAGCGTGTTAGATTGGGGAGAATCTTGGGTCTTTCCTCCAGCATGTGTTGGCAAGCGAGTGGAGTCAGACTTTCGTCCAGAAGCGTCCGCAAGCAGGCACAGCTTCCAGACCAATCCTGGCTCGAAGAAGGTTCGCTTTAACGCTTCCGGGCCTACTCCAAGTTCTACCTATGCTTGCATCAGCGGTTCTCAAAGCCGAGACGAGAGGATGGCAGGTGGTCCGAGGAGAGCCAAACCCGTCTCGTCTGGCAAGGCGGAACTGGAGGGTGCTCCTAGACAAATTGTGCTCGCGACAATCATGGGCCTACTGGCATGCTGCCATCAGTCAATGGACCGCCGTTGCCGTCAACCATGCTTTGGAACACACCTCCGCGCCGTCCAGCTCAACGGCGGCGCCGCCGGCGAAGGTTGGAAAGGGAGCTGCCGGAGAAGAAGCCCGAAAAGATGACAAACATCAAGGGTTTGGCCAGCAAGCCCGCGGACCAGTGCAATCATCCCCCTGGAGAACTCAAGGGCGGGGGAAATGCGCGTTGCAGCTGGATTCATTGCAATCAGTGCCACAGCAGGTGGAAGATGAGTCCACGCACGGCCAAGATGTTTTCTGGGAAGGACAAAGCCCCAGAGTCAGAGCAGCCAGAGCAGGTGACGGAGAGCATGAAGGAAAAGATCCGACGCCAAGCCGGAGAGCAGAAGGAGAAAGAGCACCAGACAGAGATGGGCAACCTGATGCAGCAGGTTGTGGACGAGAGAGCAAAAGTGCAGGCTCTCCAAGAGGAGCTGGACATGAAAGGCGGGTGCTTCCAGGAGTATGCCAAGGCGACGGAGAGATCGGCCAGATGGAGCTGCAGATGGAGGACATGGATCCGACCACGCAGGGCCAAGTGAGAGCTCTGATCTCGGAGTTTCGCCGTCTGGCCTCGTACGAGAAGGAGACCCGGCGCAAGTCCAACCAGCTTCCGATCCCGGAGGTGATCCGCAAGTGGGAGGCTTCCGTGGAGAACCTCAAGAGGGCCGTGTATCAAGTGAACGAGTTCTATCGCAGGGTGCTGGAGCAGCGGGCAATATGTGAGTGGGTCACCAGGGGAGGTCAGATCTCCAGATGGCACTCGGGTGCTGAAGCATGCCTCGTCTTCGGTACTTCGTCGCTGGTTGTCTCAGACCTGCCCTTACTTGGAGGACTTTGTTGTCCTTCGTAGAGGCGACAGTTTTGAACGGCGCGATCGAGCCGACTTTGGTGGAAGCAGCGTGAGCCTCCTGGATTGTCCCGCGTATGTGGTTGTCAAGGAGCCTTTGCTTTACTTGGAGCATGAGATGGATTCTTCATTTTCTGAATTCGATGATGCGGCTGTCGACATTTTCAGCGCTTTGGAGCGGGCAGTGAAAGCCTCAGAAGTCAAACAATCAAAGCTCATTTTGAGCTTGAGTCAGGCTGAAGAGCCTGAGCTATGGCGAAAGTTTGAGGAGGCAGAGCCAGCCGTGTTGGAGTTGCACGACGTGAGCAGGTCGCAAGAGTCTTTGGCAGCCAGGTTGGCGCGGGCGCAGTGGCGCAGAAACCAGGCCTTTTTGGTCAAGCCGGCAACGTCAAAAGTCGGGAAAGAGCTGTCAGACTTGAAAACTTCATCGTCCAGCGGTTCGGCTGCTTACCTCTTGTTCAGGAAGGCAGGGGCTATCACCAACTTTGTGGATCATGTGAAGTATGGCATGGCAAGGGCCGCTCCTTTGAGAATCCGCCTGTGATGCCGTATGTAGAGACGTTCTACCCTGCCGATGTTGGGGACGGACCCGAGTGGGAAGCCAATGAAGATCCTCTGGACTTGCCTGAGGAAGAAAGTCAGCTTCCAGCTTTGGTGGGAGAACCCACCAGAGAAGAGAAAGATGCAGTCATGAAGCTTCACAAGAATCTCGGGCGCCCAAACGTAGCTGACTTGGTCCGTGTGCTGAAAACAAGCCGAGTTCCAGAGCGAGTGTGGCGTTGGGCAAAGCAAAGCTTCAAGTGTCTGGCGTGCGAAGTGTCTAAAGCACCGAAATCTGCCAGGCCATCGATGATTCCGAGAAGTTATGCCCCAAACTCTGTCGTCGCGGTTGACTTGCTGCAGCTTCCTTCATGGGGTGGCTCTTCGCAAGAGTGGTGCTTGAATGCCATATGCCTAGGTACATCTTTTCAGATGATGAAGAACAAAGAGCCAATCTCAGTATGGGCAGCTTTCACTAGATCATGGACGCGTTTTCTTGGGTATCTTCAAGTTTTTACTTCTTGATCAAGGTACCGAATTTCTTGCAGAATTCCGTGATCGTGCAGCAGAGGTCGGCATGGTAGTGCACACCATAAGGGCAAGAGCACCATGGCAGAATGGCAGATGTGAAAGGCATGGCGGGTTGTTCAAATTAATGTTCGAGAAAGCCAGGTGGCACAATCCTCCAGCTAGTGAAGATGATCATCGTCTTTTGCTTCGTGAAGTTGAGGCAGCAAAGAATCGATTGTTTAATCGTCCGGGATTTTCACCGGCTCAACGCATGCTGGGGCATACGCCCAGGACGAACGGGGAGCTCATGAGTGACGATGCCATGGATCCAGCATTACTAGGCCATGGTCATGAGCTTGAACATCTGCTTACAAGGGTGGCTCAGCGTGCTTTCTCGGAGGTCAACACGCAAGAAGCAGCTAAACGAGCACTTCGAAGACGCAATCGAGTTCAACGTAGGTTTGCTCCTGGTGAAGTGGTGTTCGTGTGGCGTTCTTGGAAGGATCAAGGTCTTGAAGCCCACGTGGGTAGGCCCAGCCGTTGTCTTGATGCCAGACGGGGCGAATGCCTATGTTGCTATTAGAGGGAGACTTTGGAAGGTGTCCAATGAGCATTTGAGGGCGGCTTCGTCTACCGAGATTGAGGGCATTGAGGCAGTGCATCGGGTTTTCAAAGAAGTCCGGGCTAGACGTGAGAGATCACAGAGTCGTTTGATTGAGGACCACACACAAGATCCAGTCCCGCGTGGAGCAGATCGCAGTGCGCTTCAAGGTCCGGATTCTGTTGAACAAGAGGGCTTAGATCGAGGGCTTCCTAGACCCCGAGTTGCCGAAGAACCCGAAACCCCATTTCCTGTTCCAGTCATTCCTGTGGAGCATGTGGAGCCTATGCCAATTCCTGAGCCACCAGTTCCGGAAGTTCCTGTGCAAGACGCAGAAAGACAGGTCTCTCGGATGACGGGAGAAGAGCCGGAGGCGGAGGAAGCGGGCTCAGCTTCACCGTCTCAGCCTCAACCTTCTTTGGAGGACAGAGTTCAAGCTGGAGTAGCGTCGGCAGCCAGGAACCAAGCATTAGACGGAGTTCCAGTCGTGAGTACCCCAAGGAATCCTGTAGCTGAAGCGTCAACATCAAACACATCTTCCACGGCAGCGCATGTTCCTCCTGAAGAAAGAGCTTTTTCTCCAGTCAGGCATAATCGGCGTGCCGCGCCAGGAAGTCCGTACTTCACAGGCATGGATGAGTTTGAAGAAGTTGAACATGTAGTCCCAGAGCCCGAAAAGGATTTCTCCAAGTCGCATCGAGATTGTTGGGAGCTTCGCCCCAATGAAGGAGTATTGAGGAGACACCATGTCAAGTGGCGGTTGCGCACCTTTTCCCCTTTGGAAGCAAGTAAATCACCAGTTCCGTTTCAGGCTTTGACGTCTCAGAGGAGGACGGTAGCCCGTTACAAGGATGGTCAATCCAAAGATTGGGAAGATGAGTGGCGGCAGCTGCGACCTTCGTGCTCCACTAAGTCTAAATGGAAGGGCTACACCGACTTCTATCTCACCAAGAAGGCTATGAAAGAAGTAAAGTTGACTTACTTCGAAGAGCCTGGCGAGGGCGAGAAGTACATGTTCGCGGTGTTGCCCCCAGAAATCTTTGCCGTAAAGAAGCTGGGCTCAGATGAAGTGGCGGAAAGAGATATACCAGAGTCTGATTGGCCGGAGTGGCAGATCGAAGACGCCGCTGAGTGGGCTAAGATAGCCACTTCGGGAGCCGTGAGGGTGCTGGATCCAAAAGAGAGCCAGGAAACTCTAAAGCGTTTGGAGGCCGAAGGCAGGCTAGATCGAGTGATCGACTCCGGTTTGTCCGGAGGCTAAAGCCCTCGGAGCAGGTCGGAGAACCGGCTTCCAAGAAGTCACGCTTCTGCGTGAGGGGCGATCAAGACCCAGATCGCTTGGACCTTGAGAGATATTCCCCCACGGTGACCACTCAAAATTTGCAAGTCGTTCTACAACTTGCTGCGTCTCTTCAGCTCGAGGGCACTTGCGGAGACCTTAAGGCTGCGTTTACACAGTCCAACCCGCTTCTCAGGAAGAACGGCGAGCTGTTCATTCGGCAGCCTCGCAGCGGCTTGCCCGGCATGGAGCCAGGCCAGATCATCAAAGTGGTGGCTGGGGTCTATGGACTCCTAGATGGGCCAATTCAGTGGCGCCAAACTCTGAAGGACTACGTGGTTTCCACTTTGGGCTATAGGCAGAGCAGGTTGGACCCTTGCATCTTCAAGTTGCATGTGGAGAATGGTGCCTTGGAAGGCATCATCATCATCGAGATAGATGATCTCCTGAACTTCGGCCGTGGAGTTCATGCGGAAAAGTTGGCGCAGCTTCAGCAGAGGTTCCGCTTCGGCAAGTTTAAGAAGCTCCAAGACTTGGCAGAGGGCACCATGTTTAATGGTCGTCGGCTGAAGCAGCTTCAGGACTACACCATGGAAGTGGACATGCAGAAGTATGTGATCGAGCGGTTAGCACCGATGCACCTCGAAAGAGGACGCCGTTCTAGACCAGATGATCCTGCCACTGAGGATGAACGAAATCGCTTCCGAGGGGCGGTGGGTTCGTTGGCTTGGGCAGCTAAGGAATGCCGTCCCGATGCAGCAGCAGCTGCAAGCATTATGGCCTCACGGATGTCCAACTTGAGAGTCGCAGACATAGTGGAGATCAATAAGGCCATCTCCCGTGTGAAGGAGCGACCAGACTTGACACTAAGGTACTTCCCAATTCCTGTCCAGGCGATTCGATGGGGAGTCGTGACGGATGCTTCCTTCACGAACTATGATGATGGAAGTACTCAGGGTGCCTTAGGAGTGATCGCTTTCCACCAGGACATGATGGATGGCGCGAGAGCACCTTGTTCGCTGGTGTGGTGGAAGTCTGGAAAGCTACGTCGCAAGGTCAGTTGCATGTTGGCCGCGGAGACTCAGGCATTTCTGAAGGGTCTTGGAGACTTGCTGTGGGCCAAAGCCATATGGCGTGACCTTCAGGATCGCGATTTCAGCATTGAGCAGTTCAAAGCTTGTGTGAAAAACGAAGCTGAAGTAGTTCCTCAAAAGGCCAAAGCCGATGAAACTTTGAAGGATTCCCTTTCAGTGGTTGATGCCAAGAGCCTTTACGATAATCTGAAGAAAGACGGGTCTGTTGCTGCTGATAAGTACACTGCTCTTGACGTGGCCATTGCAAGGGAAAGGATCGACGGCCTAGCATGTCAAGTACGCTGGGTCGAGCACCATGCCATGATAGTAGATGCCTTGACCAAGATTTCGGGTAACCCCACGGCGTTGTTCGATCTCCTTGAATCTGGTACCTATGCCATAGTTGATGAGGGCGGTACTTTAGAGAACCGTGTCAAGGAGAGAGAGCAGGGCCATGTGAGGAGAAGGTAGCTGCTGACAGGCCAAAGAAAGTTTTGGGTGCTGTGAAAACGCCTGCAGATGTGTAGCCTTGGCCTGTCCGCTGCTGTATCCTCTCGAGGGGCCCCCTTAGTACCAAAAGCTACCAGTCTTTTGCATCCAAAACATTGTGCGCTTGATTTCCTTTCGCTTCTGCACTGCAAGCTCCAGTCAGCTTTGTCAATGAAGATGATGATCATGACGATGATGCTGCAGCAGCAAAGCCAACAGACTGACGCGGTCTTGTTTCAGCTGCAAGATGCTGCAGGTACGTGGCGATCGGGATCTTGACTCTAGCGAGCATGATTTTTGGCTACCTGCAGGCCAGATCCGCCGCAAATAATGAAAACTCACGCGGGCGTCTCCGAAAAGTCTTTTCTTTGTCAAGGCCTTTAGTCCTGGATCGACTCCGGAGTGGATACAGAAGTCAAATTCGCTGCGGGTAGGTCTCTTGGGGCTGTGAGCAAGATTATCAAGATCCAAGAGCGATGTTGCCGCCGAAACAATTTGGATGTCGTGCATTCCCGAGGTGGCGATGTTGTTGGTTCTCGGTGAGCAGCTTAGGTTCGACGGTCCTTGTACATGCAGCATGCTGCAAGGCTTCTAAGCAGAGCCATGCCCTATCGTACGATTATGCCACATCAAGGCTCTTCCGTTGCGGCGGCCTTCAACTCCTTGCTCACCGAGCGGATCCTGAAGGGGGACCAGGAGCGAGAACACATGTTTGACGAAAGGGTGGAATTCCAAGCCGACCTGTCTACAGCATGCGTGTTGGGCGAAGCCAGGCACGCTACCACGTGCAGAAGGCAGTTGATCGCTGTACAACTACAGCATGGATTTCGGCAGATCACAGCTGTACCACTACTCTCATCTCACGTCGATGGCAGAGACTCGCAATAAAAGAATTCACGGCTATGCCGGAGGTGCGCCTTGATGCAGCGTGCATCATATCTACCATGGGGCTCATTCCGCTCATTGCGGTCATTTCTACGAGGGCACAGGACCGATGGAGACGTGAGCGGCATGAGCGGCAACCTGCAAGCAGTTCTGTGATCTTTTTTCAGGACATTCCTTGGGCCTTGAGACCTGTTGGTCAACGACTCAGTTGCTCTTTGACGTGTGGCGAGCTCATGTTTTCAGTTAGCAGGTAATTCTGATTCGGTGTCTGAGATGCTTCATGTCCAGCAGAGTCCGTCTGCTTTCAAGAGAATGGTTGCTGGCGGCTCAGTGCGGGCTTTGCGCCTGTAGCGCGTAGCTGTCAGACTTGAAGCTTGCGGGGACCGGGACAGGTGAAAATCCAGCCTGTGACTGCGCTTGTGCCAGCGGAATATTTGCTGGCTGGACCGTCTGTAGCTTCGGAATGGTTGGGATATGTCTGGGAAAGCTTGCAGATTCGACGTAGAAACCAACAACCCCTGGCGATAGCAGGATTCCGAGCGCCATTGGTGTCATTGTTTTAGCACTGGCCATCAACACAGGCTGCTGCTTGTTGCAACATTGCTGGCTACCAGAACGTCTTTGCAGAAAAATCAGATGTTGGCAGGCTATGGTTGGCTGGTCGGCAAACTTGTACAGGCAGGCTTGGCTTGCTTTGCTCGGAGGACATTGAGCATGACCGCAGGCCTTCTCAACAGTAGACCGTGCCATTGCAGACGCGTTCAGCTTGCTTCTGGTGTACTTCATAGGCTGGACTTTTGCACGAATGTCATAATGTTGAATGGCCAGTCTTGACAAGTAGTTGTTACAGTGGGCACATGCAAGTTGATATTGCGAGTGTCAAGGCGATCCACTGATGAATGGTACAAGCCTGGGCAACATGCAGCTTGGCAGGAGTGGAGGCTGCTGACTTTGTGCCATGAGCCCTGATATCTCAGGTGCTTGAATTTGGTGGCTTTCATTGTGCCGCTGAGTGCAGAGCCCAGATTTGACGCTGCGATTGAATCAAGGCTCCAAGCCAATTGAATTTTGCAAGTTTGTTCAGCTACATTTCCTGGGAGGTACAAGCATTTTTGCTGTGGCATCCTCTGAGTTTCAGAGAGCCACACAAGCTGCGCACCTCATAGAAGGTGCCTAGTTCCTTTGTCGCCCACAGGTATGCAAGCCATCAAGGTGTTGTGACTTTTACACATCGGGCTCCTGCAGGTAAGCAGACCAATGAGACCGAAGCAACAGACTCTGAAGAAGTGACTTGGCTCACACCAGAAAACTCATCTAACCGTGCTTGAGTGGCAGTTTCTGTTCAAAGTTTCTGAATTTCATCACCGTCAGTGTCCTGCTGCTAAGACTCCAAGCGACACCGGCGATTCAGACAGTGACTGCTTGCAGTGCTGTGACGACGAAGAGGACCTCGCAAAGCTTTGCCAGTACAGTAGCTGCGAGAGTGACTCTAGGACTCCAAAGGGAGCGAGCGTGTCGGGATTTGTTGGGGTTTCATCTTTCGCCCGCAGGCGGCTCTTTCGCCTTCCAAGCGCTGGGCTGCAGCCTTTCAAGACTCAGCAAGCGAAGCAGCACCCTGGAACTAGACCAACACTTTTGTCATTGGACGTCGTTGGGATCGAAGATTGCCAGAACACGTGTGCGCCAACATCCGAGCCCTCAATTCCAGTTAGCTTGTCCGGCAAGGCTGACGGTGAAAGTGGCAAGAGGACACTGCCGTCAGGCACCCTCAGCTGTGGGCGACGGTAGGCAGTTGGTCTAGCGGAGACCTGAAAACATTTGCGGTCCACATGGCATAGCATTGCTCCCACAAAGTGGTCTTGCTCGATGTGTGTCCTAGACCTGACAGTGGCAATTCTGCTCGATTTCTCACACTAGGCGACACTGCTGCACCTCCATGAGAACGCTGCAGCAAGGCTGGCTGGCTTGCCTTGCGCATTGGCATAGTCAGACGTGCTGTCTGAGTTCTTCACTGAACCCACAGACTCCTGCAGAGTCCTTTGGTTTCAAGTTTTAGTTTGGGCACCCCTTTTTTTCAACCTTGCAATCTTTTTTTTCACCTTGTGTCTTTTTTTCAACCCCCGCCCTTGGCTACGCCCCTGATCTGTTCTGGTTCACCCTGCATATACCTTAATTGTCACCTTCTGAATTCGCGACCCCACGGTGCGTCTTATTTTCAACCTTGGCCGTCTGGTTTTTGACCTTGCGCACGCCATTCAGTTCATCTCGTCGCGAGCTCTTCTTCTGTGGAGTTCTCATTTCTGACTTTGAAAATATTGTGTCTAGCCTCGTGGACTACCTCTTTCTCAGCAGGGTGCCTTTTCACCCAGGCCGAGAGGTCTCATTTTTGACCTCACATGTCTTTTTTTCAACTTTGTTTGTCTGAAGCTCGACCTTGGACATTTTGCAGCCACGCCTTGCCGTGGAATCATTCTATAACCTCATCTCTCTTGTCCCGACGCCCCGCCCACCTGTCCCCATTCCCGCCCCACAAATCTCTTATATCTCACGTTCCCAAAGCTCGACTCTGATGTTTGACCTAGCGGTAGTCTCCAATTGGGGGGGATTCTTTTATTCCACTTTGAAAACTCTTTTTTACCTTGTGTGCTTCTAATTGTTCACCTTCTTCTCTTCTCGCCCAGGCTGCGAGATCTCATTTTCGACCTGGCACATCTTTTTCCTCACCTTGTTTGTCTAGTGTTTCACCTAGAACGTCATCTCTGGATGGCGCTCGTTAATTCAAATACATTAAATAGCTGACTTGAATTATTTACATTGTTTAAACTGATTTAAATAGGGGGAAGCTGCCTAGGGGTTCAGGATTTGAACTCATTTTCTTTTAAATCCGCCAGGCCTACTTAACTAATTTATTGAATTTTGAATTAGTTGAAATAGCTGATTGGAATAAATCGCCGAGTTAAACCATTTAACTTACTTAAAGTATCTAAATCATTCAAATAGGCTCGGCGGATTTACATAATTTTAATAATGTAAATAGCTGATTTCCATGATTTAGATTATGTGCAGTATAAAACTATCTAGATTTGTCAAATTGAATAAAATAGGGGGTGAGCTGCCAAAGGGCTTTGAATTTAGATGATTTAACTTACTTAAATCCGCCAGGCCTATCTAAATAGTTCACATAGTTTAAATAATCTAAATCCTAAGCCTTTAGGCAGCTCACCCCCTATTTAAGATAAACAGTTCAAACAGTTTACAGCATTTATGTAATTTGAATCATTTACATCGCCGATTTAACTTATTTCGAGATTATTTGAATAGGCTTGGCGCATTTAAATAAGCAAAATAATTCAAATAGTCTAAATCCTGCCTTTAGCCAGCTCACGTTTTATGTAAATTAGTTCAGGTAACCTAAATTGGCTATTTACATTGTTTAGACTATTTAAATAGGCTTGGCGGATTTGAATCATTTGAATAACTTATATAATTCAAAAAATCAAGTCTAGGCAACCCACCCCCTATCTAGATTAATTTAAATGAGGTAAACAGCTGATTCAAAATACTTGAAATATTGACTTTATCTAAATAGGCTTTGCGGATTTGAACAATTTACATGCTTTAAATCCAAATTGTTCACCCCCTATTGTTGTCGCTCGAAGGAGTTCTGTGTACATCCTGATCAAGCCGGGACCCGGGAATCAGTCATTGTGTTATCTTTTCTTTCCCGGTGACGCTTTGTCCCCCCGAGGTTCATAAGGGAAGGCCGTGCGGATTTTGTTGCACATGCGGGGGGTCTGCGCCCCACCCACCCCCGCGCATTTATAAGGCCATCGATGCTCCCAAAAAAGAACAAGTGTCAGGTCGTCGCCACCATCGATGCTGGCACTAAAAACAAGCATCTGGTCATCGCCATGTGGATCAGTCATGTTTGCACTAGGGGAAGGCTGTGCGGATCATTTTGTTTGCAAACCGGAGGGGCTGCGCCCCCCAAACCCCCCCCAAGCTTCTAAAGGCCATCGATGCTTGCACTAAAAAAACAAGCGTCAGCTCGTCGCCATGTGGATAATTTATGTTTGCAGTGGGCGAATTTTGTGCGGATCCTTTTGTTTGCAAAGGGGGGGCCGGCCTACACCCCCCCAACCCACCCCGCTTTTTAAGGGCCATCTTTGCGTGAAAAAGAAAACAAGCGTCACGTCGTCGCCGCCATCG